TGAACAAAGAAAAGTCTATTCATTCTGAACTATTTCTTCTGGTGTCTGTCATTTTAGCTCCTTTTTTGTTCTCCAATTTTAATAATAAATCGTTTTTTAGTTGTGGTTCCTCAATTCCTTGAATTTCGTCAATATTTTATTTACGTTGCCAATGACAATTCTAACAAGGTGTTGGCCGTAAAGTTTACCTTAAAGGGAAAAAAGCTCTTTTCTTTGTTCAAAACAACATATATATATATATATATATATATATATATATATATATATATATATGCACCCTTGTGCAAATTAATTGAAACAACTACTTTAGTTTCCTTTCTTTCACCATACGGTCAGTTTTAGAGCCACTGTAATCGATTTCTATTCTTTCCTTACATTAGGTTATTTGCAGTGGTGTGCAGTAATATGAGTCTATTTTCGCGGGTGTATGATAAAATTTGTTTGGATTTGAAAAATAGTGCTTCAGCCTTGATTGCATCGGATTTTCGTCACCTCCAGACACTATTGTCTTGACTGTCGATTAGTTGTCCTACGGTTATTGTCAACGATGTAGGTTACTCCAAGGAAGCGTACGAATATTGTAGCACTGCACAAGCACACTGGCAAGCCTTACCAGTGCGCAAATCAAAGTACTATAGACTGTCTCAGAAACTCTTCTGGTTTAAATCCAATCGAGAATCTGCGGTCAATCTGCAAGGAAAGACTTCGTGGAATGGACATACGAAGTACTAACATGTACACTGGGTCAGATTTCATTGGAAAAATACGAAGAAAAGTAAATAATAACGGAATTATTCGTTTTGTTTCAATTAATTTGCACAAGGGTATATATATATATATATATATATATATATATATATATATATATATATATATATATATGAAAGATACTTTTCATCCAATGAAGGAAAATAGTTTTATTTTCTTCATTGATCCTTATAAAGCTTTCCGAATTAAACGTTCTAATCAGACAAAAGAAAGAAAGAACGAAGAAAGAAAGAAAGAAAGAAGTGAATAATTTATACATTAAAATTGCACAAATTCGAGAGGGTGGTAATTTTTAAACTATGCAAATTATAAGTAAAATTAAATATCAGAGAATTAAAATTAAGTAAAATTAAAAGTATCAGAGAACATCTGGTTCAGCATTTAAAATCAAATATCGTCTTAGAATATCTTCCTAGATAATTAATTTTGAAAATGCCTACTGTCCATATGAACAGATAGCTATTTTCTTTCACTTATTTCTCCATTAAGTGAAACGACTATATTGAATCAATCGCTGCATCTACTGCAAGGAAAGTTAGTTCACTGTGTCGTGCCTGTAAACTTTTCCCGTCATAATGCACCTTGCACATTTATAACTCTATCGTTCGCCCGTGCATTGCATACTGTTGCAGTATCTAGTCAGCTGCTCCTACTGCACATCTCACGATTCATGACAGAATCCAAAGAAGGATCTGTAATATAATCGATTCTGACAAAGCATGTCGACTTTCTCTTCAACGTGACGTGGTTTCCCTCTGTCTCTTCTACTAATATATCATGCCAACTGTCCTGGAACCCCGACACCATGAATTTAAACCTACTACTAGATGGGCAAATAGGTTTCACCGTTTTTACTGTTGAACTAGCTTGATGCAATCCCCACTTCTACTCTAGCCGTTTCTTTTTCGGACTTCTTACCTGTGGAACTCCCTTTCTAGTTCTTGCTTCCCTGACAACGACAATCTTCAAAAATTTCAGTGCAACGTACAATATCTTTTGTTTTCTTGAACCCTGTTCCTCTTTTTGTCCTTTTATAAATCCACCCCACTTCTTAGTCTTCTCATTCTCTTTCACTGTCACTCTCTGAACCCCACCCCTGAGGTTTTTTTTGTTTTTTTTGTTTTGTTTTTTTTGTTTTGTTTTTTTTTGACGCATTTGGTCTCTTACTATTTTAGAATTTCTATCCTTGGTTTCCTGTTGACAGTTTAACTGTGGACACATTCTTTTCACACGTCTGATTCCTGTTATGTCTTGTGTTCCATATTTAAAAACAAAAATAAATGCTTCCCGGCATTCTCCCATCTTAAAGCAAAGGGAAAATTAATCTTAATTAAGCCACTGATGGACACTAATTATCAGGTGCTTCTTTCCTGGTGACATTTAATTTTTCGCCAGAGGAGGGATTGTAATGTTGTTTTCCATATGTTATTTATCCCTCCTCTCTCTCTATCTCTTTCTCTCTCTCTCTCTCTCTCTATATATATATATATATATATATATATATATGTGTGTGTGTGTGTGTGTGTGTGTGTGTGTGTCTCTTTCTCTCTTTCTTTCTTTCTATCTATTTCTCTTTCTCTTTATATATATATATATTTTCTCGTTTTCTCTCTATCTCTCACTATTTGTTCTGTTCCTTCAGGATATAGATATTCATGGATCTCCAAAACTTCCTTTTATTTGATGACTGTTGTGGATTCCGGGTTGAAATCCGGTACCAATAATGAATGGCAAGAATGAATATAGGAAAATAATGTATTAACGTAATAATACAAACTGGTAATGCAGGTTAGTAGTTCCAGAAATACGGGGTAGTAGCAAAATATCTATACAGTCTTTGGTATTGAAGTATTACTGTATGACTTCTTACTGAGTCTACGCGCTCGCTCACTGTGACTCTTGCTCGCTACGTTCGTTCACCCTCTGTTGCTCTCGTCTCTCGGGTCTTCACGTAGCAGTAGTATATGTATATACTGGGTGAGTCCATTTGTGTAAAAAGGGGAGGACCCCTCAACAATGACCTTAGGGATCAGTCCGTTATATGTCATGCGTGATACACGCTAAGGCGATCATGGCTGACGAGGCAGATTTTTTCGATACCTGCATGACGAGGCAAATTTTCTCCCGCAGTAGGTTGTCATTTCTTTCTGCAATAGACAAGCTGCCATCCAAGGCTAGGGAACACGGTATGTTCTGCTATTTATCCAAGGGTATTAGCACATAAGTGAATGTAATGGATTCAACTGGAATTCGAACTCGGCTCTCCGATTCCTCAACCCGAGCCCTTATCCACTACTCCAACGTGACTCCGAACTTACCAATAATTACTCAACTTTATATTTGTGGTACTCGTTCTTCTATTCATTTGTAAAGGACATATCAAGCCGGTTACTCGAAGCTTTTTCTTTTTTACCGTCGATCTGTCTTGTGTGTGTTAAATTCTCCAAGTCTTCTCTTCTTATTATATCTGTCTCTTTCTGACTATCAGCTACGGTTTTCTTTGCAGTTTCAATTCCTCTTTAATCTTCCTTTTGATATTTTAAACTTTAATTTCTGATTACTTACATTATTTACATTATTCGGACTGTTATCCTCTTCTTCATTGCCATATTCACAACGTTTCTGCCGTTGTACGCTCCAGTCCTCTTCAGGTGATTAGAATTTCGAACCGGTCAATTGATTTCGTCCACCGGGATAGATTGTTCCAGTGCCACATGCTGTGATACAGCAGAAACAGTCTGTCTGTGGATGAGAATATATATATATATATATATATATATATATATATATATATATATATATGTAATATCAGTTGATAATTAGTAGGGATATTTTCAAGGAGAATATTAATCCAAATAAACAAGACCTTGGTCTAAAGAGATGGATATAAAAGTCCGCGAAATAAATTGAAAGAGATGGATTTTAAAGGATTCTGTATTCATATATATATATATATATATATATATATATATATATATATATATATATATATATATAAGTTTTTAGTTTCTATTTTTTGAAACATGGTAATTCCTATGTAGTGGAATTTCCACGTTTCAAAAACAGAAAGTAACAACTTCAGATTCAATTCTATAATTAAATTAAAAGCACTAGTTCTGTTTCATTTTCAAGGGAATTTTGGAATAACTTATTTTGAAATTTACCGAGTTTTAAAAGCACATACATTCATAATATTTGTTTCCAAGGATACAGAGAAATCAATAATTTAGACATATATATATATATATATATATATATATATATATATATATATATATATATATATATATATGAATTGGGATAAAATACAAATCAAATATGGATCAGAATCCGACAGAATGATAGGATTAAGAAGACACAGGCAGCGTTTATCAATCTAAAATGTTCCACATTTATTAAGACTTGAATTTTAGCTTTAGTAAATGTGACCACACTCTACACACTTTTCTTCAAAGCACTACTATAAACAACGGGAGTGAGTGAGTACGTTATGACAGTGTGTGTACGGAAGAGAATTTAAGGTCAATCTATGCCAAGCGGCTTTACTCTGCATATTTTAGATCCGTTACCATAGCAATATCCTGATGCGTTTTAAATAGACCTCGTAGGAAGACCAATATTACATAACAGTTCAGTACTTTGTTTCTAAGGAAATTTCAATCACTAGTTAAAAATTTTGCTTATTCATTATTAAAGGATTTGACCCTGACATAATGATCAATATTTTGTTATTACTTGCATTGACGGATGCTTTGTATTCCTTGACTGAATTTCTAACGCCTGAAGAAGCCTGAAAACACGTAGAACAGAAAGCTGCCAGTTTAAAAGGTTCAGCAGAAGCGCATAAAGCATAGTGGGAAAAAACGACGGAAGCGTAAAGTGCATAAAAATGACTCCCAATCGCAGAAATAAAGGCGGGTGGCGTGATATCGGATGGATAAAATGGAGAGCGACGAGAATCTAGATTTACAATAAATGATTGCCTCCCTAACAAGAATGTCACATTAGCAAACCGGGATCAAGCAAGCTGTTCTGCATGGAAAAATAGAGTCGATCAATGGCGTGAGTTTGTCCTTGAATGGCGCATGCGTACAAAGAGTTTGGAGTGTGCATGCGCAAACTGTTTATCCATCATTTTTTTCTGCTCCTATTTATTTCTTATCACTAAACTTAATCGTTTTCCTCGATACAAACTCTATAGACATGCAAGGAGAAAAATTACTGAAGCAGATATGAATCAACTACACCAGAAACGTCTTATTCGTTGCCAGTGTCGTTATTCCGTCTCTGTTTTGCCACACTTTACATCGATTTATTTCCGACTTATGTTTTTCATGCCGCTTGTCATTCGTCAATATTTTTTCTTTTCCTCTCGCATTTATGCTATCTTCCATTTATTGTTTTTTCTTTTACCTACTTTTCATTTTTATTTTCTTTCTTTTTGTTTTCTTACCTTTCATTTTCCTTCATTTCATTTTCCTTCTTTCATTTTTTTCATTTTCATTTTCTTTCTTTTCCTTTTTCTTTTTCTTCCTTTTCATTTTGATCCTTTTCATTTTCCTTCTTTTTCTTTTCCTCCTTTTCCTTTTCCTCCATTTCATTTTCCTTCATTTCATTTGCCTTCTTTTCATTTTCCTTCTTTTCCTTTTGTTTCTTTTTATTTTCCTTCTTTTCCTTTTGTTTCTTTTTATTTTCCTTCCTTTCATTTTCCTTCTTTTCATTTTCTTTCTTTTCCTTTTTCGCCTTTTCATTTTTTTTCTTTTCGTTTTCCTCCTTTTTATTTTCATTTTTTCATTTTCCTTATTTTCATTTACCTCCTTTTCATTTGCTTTCTTTCCCTTTTCATTTTGCATTTTCCTCCTTTTCCTTTTTCTCGTATTAATTTTCCTTCCATTCATTTCCCTCCTTTTTATTTTCATTTTTTTTATTTTCTTTCTTTTCCATTTCCTCCTTTTCCTTTTCCTCATTTTCATTTCCCTTTTTTTCTTTCCCTGCTCTTCATTTTCCTCCAATTTATTTGCCTTCTTTTCATTTTCCTTCTTTTCATTTCCTTTATTTTCATTTTCCTCCTTTTCCTTTTTCTCCTTTTCATATTCCTTCTTTTCATTTTCCTTCTTTTTCTTTTCCTCCTTTTCATTTTTTTCCAATTCATATTCCTTCTTTTCATTTTCCTTCCTTTCATTTTCTTTCTTTTTCCCCCTTTTCCTTTTTCACATTTTCCTTTTTCTCTTATCCTTTTCCTCCTATTCATTTTCATTCTTTTCATTTTCCTTCTTTTTTATTTTCCTTCTTTTTATTTTCTTATTTTTCTTTTGCTCCTTTTCATTTTCTTTCTTTTCCTTTTCCTTCTTTTCATTTTCCTTCTTTTCATTTTCCTCCATTTTATTTTCATTTTTTCATTTCCCTCCATTTTATTTTCATTTTTTTCCTTGTTTTCCATTTCCTCCTTTTCCTTTCCTTCCTTTTCTTTTTCGTTCTTTTCATTTTCCTTCTTTTCATTTTCGTTCTTTTCATTTTCCTCCTTTTTATTTTTATTTTCCTTCTTTTCATTTCCTTCTTTTTCTTTTACTCCTTTTCATTTTCCTCCTTTTTATTTTCATTTATTTCATTTTCCGTCTTTTTCTTTCCCTCCTTTTCCTTTTCCTCTGATTTATTTGCATCTTTTCATTTTCCTTCTTTTCATTTTTCTTCCTTTCATTTTCCTTCTTTTCATTTTTCTTCTTTTCATTTTCTTTCTTTTCATTTTCATCCTTTTTTTTCATTTTCCTCCTTTTCCTTTTCATTTTCCACCTTTTTATTTTTACTTTTTTATTTTCCTTCTTCTCCTTTTCCTCCAATTTATTTGCCTTCTTCTCATTCCCTTTATTTTCATTTTCCTTCTTTTCATTTTCTTCCGTTTCATTTTCCTCTTTTTCTTTCCAGTTTTTTTCATTTTCCTTCTAGCAAATCCCTGTTACAGACGCACGCTCAATCCACAGCGTCCCAGCGGATTTTAGTTACAGTCACACAGAGAAAGCACATAATCTGGCTGAACGTTCAAAGCTTCGGCCACAATGACATGTGACTTCACGAGCACAACCATCGGCGTCTTCGGTCTATACAATTTCACTTCCATTGTTTGAGTTAACTGGTGATATTGTTTTCGGGCAATTTCCAAGGGTGCCATCCGCTAGAAGCATCTTCCCCAGGGCGATATTATCAACAAGCGCTCCCTGACACGTCGATTATGGTGAAATTCGAACCTGTGCCTCATGGCCAAACTGTAAATGTTCTTACTTCATACATACATACATACATACATACATACATACTATATACGAACGTTATATAGCTAAACATAAAATATGTAAAAGTTTGTTCTACTTCCTTCTTTAATCATTTTATCGTATTAAATTATTAGCAGAAATGAAACTTGAAAGAACGAAATTTGGCCGGGATGGACAGACTGTTCTCTGTGGCCAAGTCGTAAGGCGTTCTGGGCTAAACGGTAGCTCCTTCTGTACCGCAATTTTTTCTTTAATAAGATTTCTTGAAAACAAATTTTTATGTATAAATTACAATTTAAAAATTTTTCCAATTTGTTTAAAGATTTCCCTAATATATAAAAAATGAACTAAGCCCGACAATTATTTTGATATATTTTTTTGTTTATACATCATTTTTATAGGCACAAATATTTAAGTAAATGCTTTGTTTATAATAAACAGTATTAACAACATTTGCCGACCTGAATGTCCGAGAAATCTCAGAGAAAATATGTGTCACTCGACAGGAATCGAAACTGTATCCTACACTGAACTGCCATATAGCCTGACGTGCTATACCATTTAACTACAGAGGATGCATCTGGTTAGTAAGGTTAAATAACTCTTTCCGAACTACAACCTTGCTAACCAGAGACTTCCTCTGTAGCTAAATGGTATACCACGTCAGGCTATAAGACGATTCAGTATATGATACAGTTTCGATTTCTATGAAATTTCTCCGGCGTTCAGGCCGCTAAAAGTTGTTAATAATGTTTATTATAAACACAGCATTTACTTAAACATTTGTATCTATAAAAAAATGTATAAATAATATATATATATATGTGTGTGTGTGTGTGTCTGTGTGTGTCTGTGTCTGTGTGCGCTTGTGTGTATGTATATTTGTAAAAGGATTTTTAAACTCTGAACTAAAGCTACCGTACATTTTTTTAAATTGTCCTTGTCTGTCTGTCTGTCTGTCTGTCTGTCTTTGGCTGTGTGTGTGCGTGTTTGAGAGAGACAGACAGACAGAGAGAGAGAGAGATTAAAATTGTATGCCTTTCATAATGGATTCAGGGGTGAAAAAATGATAACTAAGCCGGCCTTTGACCACTGCTATTCACCATAACAGCTTCACTTGACAAGCCGCTTTGAAGCTGCTTTTTTCTTTACTTTTTTTCCCCTGTTTTTCTAATGTCACTTTGACCAGCTTGATGAGCTAAGCCAAGCAAGATGATCACATCAAAAGATATAGAGACACTGCAAAATGGTTTTCCTTTTTTTTCCCACAATCCATGAAAACCGCATTTGAATTAATGCTTAGAGAGATCAATTTGTAGATGCCTCATCGTAGCGTAAGGGCCAGCGTAGTAATTCCTGAAGATCATTGATGCTCAAGAGGAAATTTACTCCCCAGTCTTCTACACACTATTAATTGGAATTTGGAGAGCTTAGTTCGGGAGTTTTCTAATACATCTTCAAGCAATTTTATATACCTTTTTTTCAACATATTTCCCTTAAAGCAAATAATGATGGACAGTAAGCACAAGAAAAGGAAGAGATCATTTGGAAAAAAATAAAATAAAATGTAGTATATAATGTTCCTGAAAGTTTTTTTCTCTGTCCACAACAATAGACTCGTCTATCGTTGGACAATTATTACAACTGAATTTTGGCTGGTTGGTTGATTTTATTTTGCGGCTTACCTATGGGTTATTTAATGCCGAAATCTGAAAAATTTTGCACACGGTTTTATGGCTTCAACTACAGATAAATTATATTGTTGGTAATTTTACTATAAAATAAATTACTGGTGTTGTTCAGTAGTTTTCACAGTGGAGGCTTGTATTTCACTAAGTCGTCCTAAATTAGGTTCGACGTACAAAACGTTACGAACTTGAAATAAGAGTTAATGACGCAGCAATCTAGTTGTGATGGTTGATACTTCAATATCCGACATCGACTGACTCACTCAACACCACTGAGCTCAAATGGCCACTGTTACTACTACTATTACTACTTATTATGTGTGGGACAGTCTATTAATAATAGAATAGGTTCGTTCAGGTATTTACAATTTGTCGGTAATTTTACTATATGTAAAGTTGGTAATTTTTTTTATATATATAAACGTGTATTGCTGGGATTTAAAAATATTTTTTTACTTTCATAGTGTTTTCTTTTTTTTTTTTTTTTTTTTTTGTTAGCGAGAACCTTAACAAGTGCTAACGCTCCATTACGACTGGAGACATTAATGAAAAAATTTGATGTGACTGGATAATACCGATCAAAAATTATGGAGTCAGCACATTTAAAGTATTTTCACCTTGGGTTTTTATTCAGCAGTAAATAATCTAATCAAAGATAAAGCGCAATTTTTTTTATTTAATAGCTGAAGATTCTACCTTCATAAAATATACCGTAAAAAAACTAGATTAAATTACTTAAATTAATAGTATCATTTTTTCAAAACCGTGCAGACGGAATATTATTGAATAACCTAATACTGAGAAAAAATATGGAATTCATCAAGAAAAATTAGAATTAAATCTTAGCTGCCCCTTGTTGAGCTTTTTATGACAAACTTAATTCTTTCAGCCATGGCTGTCACTAATTTCTTCTCATGAACTATTTTTAAAATTTTCATCATGCATTTACAACTTAATTAGGTCTGGACTGTTCACTAGTCATGTCATTGATTTTAAGAATTAATAGTTGTCCCTCCTCGACTTTTTTATGACAACCGTAATTCATTTAGGAATGGGTTTCACTAATTTTAATCTATATTCTTTATCAAAGTGATTCACACTTTCCCGAATGGTGGTTAATAGATATTTTGTGGTTAGTGTCGTCTCATGGAATAAATTTTCATTGTACATTTTCAAATCGATTTAGATGCGGACTGTTCACTGGCCAGGTCAGTGATTTTAAATATTAATATTTAGTTGCTCCTTCTTAAAACTCATTATGACATTTTTAATTCTTTAAGACATGGGCTACAAAAAATGTAAGCAATATTCTTTATCAAAGAAGTTCCAACTATAAGTTAAATAGCAGAACATGTATCTGGAAAAAGAATGCTTTATTATTTTGCTCTTTTGATTTCAGTAATGACAACTTGCCCGAATGGTGATTAATAAATGTTCCTTGGATGACGTAACGGTCTCAAGAATCATATTTTCTTTTTTTAATTTTCACTATTATCTTTTTAATTAGATTTAGATCTGGACTTTAAAAAAATAAAGATAAAAAACCTTAGTGAATATCCTGTAACTGCGCTAATTTCATAATTTTTGCCTATTTTTTAGGGTTTTTTTTTTAAAGTAATTTTATCCCCAAGTAAGGCGATTATGCCATTAATAAGCAAGTGGGTTACTGGAAGTGAAAGAGAATGAAAAGACATTAGAAGGAACCAGAAATCCAATCTTAAACGGGGAAAAAAGTGATAAATATCTATTCCGCGGAAAGGAGTGTGAACCGGGTGATAGATGAACCTATCTACTCGTTTTCTCTCATGTTTAACGACGCTCGCAGCAGATATTGAAATAATGTGATGAAATAACAGATATAAAAAAGAAATTAAAATTTTTAAAAGTTTTTATATATTAAATGATATTAATATGTAAGTGATTGTAAACTGATTTTTTCGTTTGCAGAGGAATCCATGTGAAAAGGTTTCTGTAGGAATGGAATTCAACATTTTCAGAATTAATTCATATCAACACCTGGAGGAATTTTACATTTTTTTTTTGTTTTTTGATTGATTTGTTTTTTACGGATTATCAACCTTTAGCAGGTTATTTTTGAGCCAGGAAATATTTTTATATAGTAAGAATTTTCAGGAGGTAATACAAATTTACTACTAGAAGTCCTAGTAAATAATCCATTGCTGGATGATCTGGTTTGTTTTGTATTACGGCCTATCAACCACAATGGGTTATTTAATGGCGATAATTTTTATTGCTGGTATTATTTTTTTTCCTTCAAAAATGTATAGCTGATAATATTGTTTTTCAAATATTTATTGATAGTAATAATTTTGAGTTTTGATCCAGGTTTGTGTGTTAACTATATGCCCATAGTTGGGACCCTAATAGGTGCTGCCACCCCGGATCAGGGTGGACATGGGGACACCAGTAATTAAGAGTTGGTTCGACGCTCCTCAAAACCTCCTGATCAGAGTCCTCGCTGTTTGTTGGACGTAGTTTATCGTCGTACCCAGGAGGCGGACGTAGTTTATCGTCTTACCCAGGACGCGGATGTAGTTTATCGTCTTACCCAGGACGCGCATGTAGACGGATAGCTGGGTGGAGGTGCATTTCGAAGTGGTGCAGTGGTTAGCAAGCTTATCTCGCTAGATCACTTACGACTGTGTAGTGAGTTAGATCTTCACTGGAGGCCCCGTACTTTCGGCCTTGTGTCACACATAAGCTTCGCTTAGAGAATTACTATTGCTGCGTCGAGAAGAGATGGAGTCATACCTTTTTTTGCGTGTAAGTGAACCCAAGTGGAATTGGAACTCGGCTCTGCGACTTTCAATTCCGAGCCATTATCCATTACACCACCCGCTCATCCAAGTACCTGGTACTCCCAAGGGGAAACTCATCTAAGTAGGGATCAGGCTCGACCTTTGCTTAACTTCGCCGATCGAACGAGAACCGGATATATATATATATATATATATATATATATATATATATATATATATATATATATATATATATATGTGTGTGTGTGTGTGTGTGTGTGTG